ATATGCTGTGTATATTGACCGCCTTGAGGGATTGCAGAAAAGATTTGCTCGATATTTGGTTCACAAATTTAACTTACCGTACTGTTCGCAAAGGTGCACCGTCTTTGGTTTGCGAACGCTGCGCGGACATAGATCTGCCGCTGATATAGTGTTCTTGTATAAATTGATCAACGGTTTGCTTGATTCGCCCGAACTTATGAATCATATTTCATTCGCTGTGCGCAGCTATTTTACTCGAGATCAGTGTTTATTTAGATTGCCAACTTCTAGTACTAATGCGTACTTTAATTCGCCGTTACCTCGTATTATGAATACGTATAATCGTTATTGTCCTGACGTGGACATTTTTGTTTTATCTTTTAGTACTTTTCGGAATGCTATTTGTAAATTGAACGTGTGTCAATAATACTTTTTATTTTGTAATTTATTTTAAATATCATTCCTGTTATCTTTTAGTTGCTTAAATTGTAATTGAGTTCTTTTTTATTTATTTTTTTTAATTATGTTTTTATATTTTAGAGGATACTGTTGTGGGGATTATCAGTATGTATCCCAAATAGTGAAATAAATAAATATGGTTATAAGATCTGCGGATGTATTTCGATAGTAAAATGGTTGTGTTGTGCTAATTTATGTATATTTCATGTATTTTGGAATTGAATTTTCTGATAAACAAATTTTAATAAATATATTGAAGAATAATCGAAATTATAATTTTAAACTGTTCCATGATCAGAACAAAGTACAAAAGTCTTTAAAATTGATTTTAATTCATAATGGTTTATCGCAATTTTGCATATTCTCACTAATAATTTGATGAATAATCCAATTCTAAAGTACTAAAATAATATTCCAAAACCATAATCTTTTTATTAATATCATAAAAATTCATAGTCATAACGTTTATTTTTCCCAAAACCTACACATTGTTTTCAATTATTTTCCCAATCGTTTTGTAACATCTTTCAATTCTGATACGATATCTTCAAGTGCTTCATCAATTATTGTTTGATTAGTATTTAAGTTTTTTTGGTAAATACCAAAAAATTATTACTTAATAAAATAATAGATTTTATATTAGATATCTTCATTTATTTAAATGATGGGGATTTTAGGAAAAGTCAAAAAGACAAATTTATATTACTAACGCTTTATTTTTATTTAAAAGTACAAAAAAATATTTTATGTAAAGAAACAAAGAACGTTTATGGTATTAAAAAAGAGAGTTAAAGTAACATTCATTACATTAAAAACAAAACTTAATTAAAAAACTAAATAATAAAAATAAAATTTTTTGAATCGTCAATGATTTTATAAACCTAATCGTTTAATAATTTTTCCGTGAGATTCGGAAATGAGATGCATTCCAACTTCCGGACTACTATACATAATAACACCACAAGCTTGACATTCGATTTCTTTTGGGGTGATATATCTAAAATAACATTATTTTTTTTTTTATTGAGTTAAAATTTGTATAGTTACCCTTTAGCAAAACTTTTAAGATCTTCAATATTTAGCGAAACTTCCACATTCTTTTTATCCATATCTT